TTGTTTTTTTGGGTTTTTTTTTTGTTTTTTTGTTTTATTTTGACTCCACTCTTCTAATAGTACTAGGAACAAAAATGATCAATGATCCATTCTTCATGCACTTAAAACATAAACATATATATATATTTCGGTGTAGTGCAACCATATATTTTTTTGCTCATGTTTTGTTACAGATCAGGGAATACAATGGACAGATGCAGGGAATTACCAGTGCTGGATTTGCATCCTTGACATTTGATGGAACTGTAGGAGCACGCGTTGTTCCTCGAACCTCTAGCAAAGTGTACACTTTCATGGATGAAGAACAGAAAAGAATTGAAGAATTACGTATTTGGGCAGCCAGTAATCTTTCCATCTCTGGACCAGCAGCAAAATTGTCTGATGTCCAGCCAATGCTGTTCTTTGATCTCACTTGCCAGCTCATAGGAAAAGCAAAAGTGGATGGATCATCTTTTCTTCTAAAGGTAGACTTTTTTTTTAATAATTTGTCAGATTTAGTTATCAAGACACTGTGATTTAGTTTTTGATAAAACAGACACATTCATTGATAAATATTTTACGTAAGAAAACTTAAGGCCCCTTTCAACCCATATCATTCCATGCTTCTATGTTGTGGTTCATTTTCACTGTGAACAGTTTCCCCTTTTATCTCTTGATTTGGGATGAGTATTTCAACCATGAGTTACTCTCAGTGTATTTACACGTGGCTTTGATGATTCTTAGATCTTTTCCTGTGGACCTTTGATCCACAGCAGTTAAGCATAAGGTGTTAGAAACCTTTTAAAAATTAAGCTTTGATGTCTTTTTTCTCCCTTTCTGGTGTCTTTGAGAAGAGTATATCTTCAGGAACTCAGGAAATGATAGTTTACAGAATATATTGTAAGCAGCTATCACTGAATGTTTGATTTAAGTAGTAAGATTTTGGTTCCAAAGTGCTAAGTCTGGTAGTCTTACTTTTTCACAATAACTTTGGTAGCACAAAAATAACTCTTATTGATATTTCAGCACTTAAGTGTATCAAAAACTTAGCTTTAGGCAAACCATTTTTAGACTGCTCATTATTAAATGTAAAATACTGAGGTTTTTCTAATACATTCTGGATAACTAATAGTGTATACTGATGAGATCATCAGTAATTAATGGAGTATGTGCTGTATACTCAATCTTCATATACTGTAGCTGGAGTGGTTAAAAATACCTATAGCAGGATTAAAATAATAAATATAGACAGTTCTGCATATGGTGAATTCTAATAATTGTAACTGCTGGATAAACATTTGAGGTTTTGCTAGTGCTGATTTTTTTTTTTTTTTTTTTTTTAGATATTAAAAAATCTCAAGTCTTATCACTTGGGTCATATTCTCCGTGGAGTTTATTTTAATTCTCTATAAAGAAGAATAATTTTAAAGAAATACCATAAAATCTAATCTAAGTAGTATAAGCACTTTAAGACTTGAGTCTCCAATTAAGATTTCTTATTGTTATCGATTTTTAATCAAACAAAAAAATTGTTAAAAAATCTAAAGTATTCTGAGCATATTGAAATAGTTCATTTGCCTTGCAGGTATGGGATGGCACAAAATGTCCCTACCCAACATGGAAGGTGCCTGTGGAAGCAAGAGACCTGGAAGGAGAAAAGGTTCTTCTGCATCAACTGCGAAATCTAACGGTGGATGTTCTAGTCTATGATAACCATGTACAACTGGCAAAATCACTTAAGGTAATGCACAGTTTGGTATTTCTGATTCTCATTTCGTGGCCTATTTTCTGCTTAGAACTCACTTCAGAGAATGTATCAATTTAGTTCTACTGTTAATTAGTTTGAAATGTTCCTCTTTATCTTTTTCTCTATTTACCATACCTTTTATTTGAATGCAAAACTCCTTCAACACGTGTAAAACAGTCTCATTACCCAAAAATTGCCATGAAAAAAATTCTTCTAATTAAGCAGTTCTTTCCAGACACTGTAATATCATATAGAATCCTGTGAAAATAATGCACTCAGAAAATGTATCCTGTGCTATAGAATTATTTTTTAAATTATATAAAGTGGGGTTAAACTTGCAGTCCCATCAAAGGCCTGTAATTCTAAAGTCAATAAAAGATTTTCTGTCCTATAAAATTCTGCAATTTGCAGTGCAGTCTTCATTTAGTGGGTCAGTAATGTTGATTGTGCTTAGATAGAGAAAACAACAACATAATTAAACATTTGATCTTCAGCAATACTGCCATCTTGCTTCTGAATACAAAAAAAATGAGCAGATACATCTTTCATTTTATTCCTTGCCCTCTATACCCAAGCATTGTTTCTGAGAAAGTATTTAGCAGAAAATAGAGGTGTTAGGCTGAGGCTATCAGACATTAAATTAATTTAATGTATTAATGCTCATTCATAAGTAAATGACAGCAAAATAATTCACCTTTGTGTAAGAATTTGTATCAAAACTTACTCACAGGAGTATTTCATTACTTACAGATTCTCTTCCAGAATTTTTCTCTTGTTGACTGGTGTGATCTATTGGTATAAAAAACTGCTGATGTTCCAGTGAAGCAGTATGTTTTGAAAATTAAGAGAAAAAATATTTTAATATTAATAAAATGTGTTTTGTTGAGTAGCTGATGATACTCCCTTTATTACTGTTGCTTATTTATATTCAGAAATTCCCATGGAATATGTGGTATGTGGGAGATCTTAATCAGCTCTCTCAATTTTTTTTTTTTCCTTCTTATTAGCCCTTCCTTTCTTATCTTTAGAGCATCTGTGCCTTTGCTGGATACTGCACTGTGTAGCAGAAGCTCTAAAGTCAAAGGAAGCTGTTAAGAAACCTGGTTTGACCTACTGAGCAACATGAGCTGGTTTTTTTCCTTCTGGCTATGTTGAGAGTTGAGGCAGATTCACTCATACAAGCTGTAAACATTTTAAGTTAGATAATTTTTGAACGCCACTATTTAGTGGATTGCCTTAGTGGAGTTCGTGAACAAAAAGTGCTGATATCCTAACAATTCAACTTCAGGAAGATTTATTAACTTCATGTTGCAATATGTGCAGTTAATTTTATTTCACAGAATAATCTAAAGATAATAAAAATTTGCAGGAATCTTCCTAAAATTGAAGATTTAATAAAAGGTTTGGTTTTAAATACTAGAGGAAATAATTTCATGTCATAAGAAAGTTTAATTGAAAAACTCTATATTAATCTGTATCATATTTTATTTAGTTCAGGGTCTTGTCATGAAAGATTTTTTTTTTTTAATTGTTCATGTAGAAGTATAAAACTGAAGAGCATGTAGTGTATTCATGTGCACCTTGCAGAGTGTGAACATGGGAACAGTGTGGACAAAAACTGTACTAAATGTTCTGTCAGTTTGTGGTTTCAGAAACAATAAAAGTGCACTGTTTTTCTGCACCATCGCTTCTGTATTTGACAGTATCTTAGAATTGCCTTTTTTAATGTAAATTGTTATGGAATTGTTAGGTTACAGTCTCCCATGTTGTCATATACCATTTGCAATGATAATTGCAGCTCTGAAATGTGTTACGTAGGAAAAATCTGTTTTACACAACTTTGATACCAAGAAGGGCAGATTGGAGAGGGGGAAAAAAAAAATCTGAAATATTTTAAAATTTATCTGTAGGCACATGTTCAGACAAGGAAGCTCTGAGTAAGCACTGCAGACTAGAGAAAGTGAGTAATGTAGTAAAGTGAATTTTTAGCAAATCCTGGAGCACAATGTCAAGGATATTCCTGCAAGAGTTTCTTAAAAGCTCCTGTTTGGATTGTCTGTTCAGAGAACACTGAAGATATGAGCATTTTATCCCATTTTCTGAGACAGTCAAATAATATTTATAATTTTCAATGGAGAGAACTTCAGTAATGTTGAAGGTACGCTACAGTTGATACCGTAAAGTAGAATTTTTGTCCCCTGTATTTTCTGGCCTCCCTTTCCTGATGGGTAAGATTGTGGCTTTTCAGCATTTGCTGCCTTAGCAGATCACAAACAACTTTCAGAAATCTCATCTCTGAAGTAGATTATCTCCTGGGGCATAAAGACACGAGCAAAAGCTACAACTAAGCAAAGGCAATGGCATTCACTGCTTTTTCCTGAATTTCCCTCGTCCTTTGGCTATATATTTCGCATGAAGCTTTCTCATTACTCGAGGAACCTCAGCCTGCAACTAACTTTCCGGAGTATAGTTGCTCCCCATAAGTCGTAGTTTGTTATTCTTCAGCCTTTCTTATTCCAGCTTTTCCAGAGACCGCATCTGGAATATTGTGTCCAGTTCTGGGCCCCACAGTTCAAGAAGGACAGGGAACTGCTTGAGAGAGTCCAGCACAGAGCCACCAAGATAATTAAGGGAATGGAGCATCTCCCTTATGAGGAAAGGCTGAGGGAGCTGGGTCTCTTTAGCTTGGAAAAGAGGAGACTGAGGGGAGACCTCATTAATGTTTACAACTATGTTAAGGGCAAATGTCATGAGGATGGAGCCAGGCTCTTCTCAGTGATGCCCAGCGATAGGACAAGGGGCAATGGGTGTGAGCTGGAACACAGGAGGTTCTGCTTAAACTTGAGAAGAAACTTCTTTACAGTGAGGGTGACGGAGCACTGGAACAGGCTGCCCAGGGAGACTGTGGAGTCTCCTTCCCTGAAGACATTCAAAACCCGCCTGGATGCCTTCCTATGGGATCTCATTTAGGTTCCTGCTCCGGCAGGGGGATTGGACTAGATCATCTTTCGAGGTCCCTTCCAATCCCTAACATTCTGTGATTCTCAGGGTTCACTGACCTTGCCATACAGTTTGGGAATAGGTCTCTGACATGGGTTTCTCCATCTGTGGCATTTTGCTAGATGGAAGGCATCAGGGTGAGTGAACATCAGCAGTCAGTCAGTGCACATTAGGGTTCCAGCTGTTCACAACTGGTTGAAGATTTCCTTATGGTCAGTCGTTGAATTTATGGTACTGTGCCTTCCTCTTATGGCTTGATACTATCCATTTTGTGTTGCCATGTGTTTTCTGGAAAGAACAGTTGGAACAATTAACCTTGAGCATGCATACAAGTCCTAGTCTATTGTTTCACAGTATTTGCTTCGTGTTATGTATCTTCAGATGCAGAATTTGAGTATTTTCAGCTGTTCTTCCTGTTGTATAAAATGTCATGTCTTTTTTTGATAGTAGTTTTCTTGCTTGCTTTTCTAGTCTGAGTCACATTTCCAACCTGCAACTTATATGAGTTACATGGCTGTAATATCTAGTTTCATATTTTTCGGGCCTGGGTAGCATTCCTTTGACCTGTCAGTGGTATTCCCCCCACTTCTGTCTTTGTATTCATTAAAAAGGGAAAAGTGAAAAAACACAACCCCTCCCCATCCCACTCCCAAGTCCTCCAAACCCTTTAATGGATTTAAGCAGGTATTTTTTTATTCCAAAGGACCACACTGAAATACTGTGTATGTGCTTCTTCTTATTTGCAAAAAAGTCGTGCATAATTTATTCAGTAAAATTAGACTTTTGATATGATAAATTTATGACAAAGAAGTCTCATTTAATAGCATCTGCCATAAAATAGGCATAAAAATTAGTACAGATGATTTTAAGTAATTCCTATAGGTAAAGACAGCCTATTGTCATGAGTGTCTTTCTGGACAAGCATGAACATTTAACTACCGTGATAAATGACCATTCTGAATTAATCAGTGTCTTAAATATGAACACAACCCTCTATGTTTTGAAATAATTATGAGAATTTGCTAAGCTAAAAAGTTGTTTTAGTTGGCTAGTTATAGGGAACTGCAGATGTGACTTCTTCGATTCTTTTTAGCCTTAATATGTGTTTTTAAAATAGTCATATTTGAATTAGACTGCAAACAGAGTATTGGTATATTTTAAATTACTGCAAGAAATGTGTTCTTATTGCTTTAATTTAATTTTAGATGAACTTGCTCTAAATTGAAGTAGGTAGTTCCTAAACAGAACTGCTGCAAAGTCAGGGAGGGAGTTGGTTTTGTACTGGATTTTAGCGATGGCTCTGTAAGTCAGGGGTGTTTACTGAAATGGAGATTAGAATTGCTTCTCAGTGAGGTATATAAAGTGTGCTGGGTCCGCAAGCGTTCGGTAAGCAACGGAAACGCAGTAACATTTTTAGGCGCAGCAGCCGCGTTGCTCCCCGCTGTTAGCGGTGGCCAATGCCGCCTCCCAGCGGAACTCCCGCACATGGCACCCGTCCTGCACGGGCAGGTCTGCGGGGCTCTGCTGGCCACATTCGTAACCTTCTGGACTTTTTCAGTGTTTAGCAGTGCTGGTGATAATGCAACTCTTTCGTATAGTTCTTAGTGATATAAAATATATATAAAAAATAACATTTTTCAGAAAAGGGATGTAATAAAAAGCAGTTATAGGAAGATACGTTTTTAAAATGAGAATAAATCTTGGGAAGTTGAGTGTTGCACAAAATCATGTAATTCACTTAACTTTTGCATTAATTTCAGCACACAAGTTTAGAAGGAAAAGCCAGCACTTTGTATTCTTGGCCTCTGGGCTCTTCTCTTCAGTGTTTTATATTTGTACATATAGTAAATATTTAATTTTTTCATACGTTGTTTTTGAAAGAAATAAAATCCTCAACTATAATCTAATCTACTTTTTCCTGCCTATGTACAATTACTCTTGGGGGGGAGGGAGGGGGAAGTAGTTTGGCACTATTATATTGACATAAGCTTATTTGATAAGTGGAACTTAGCTAAGACCGTCTAAAAAGACTTTCTCTAAAAGCATTTGTCATAGTCATTAATTAGTTTTATAATACAACTGTACCTTGCATTTTTTAATATTCAACTTAATGAAGTGAAATTTAGCATCTGGAAAGAAAAAAAAAAATGGCCTCAGGATAAGCCTCTTAACTGCTGTGGAAATGCACAAGCTGTCCTATTGATTTGCTTTGAATGAATGAAATGAGCAGCCTCCTAATGGTGCAAATCAATTAAAACTCTGGTAAGAGCTCCATGACAGAAGCAGAATAGGTGCAGGCTCCATGCCAGAAGCAGAGTAGGTGCAGGCTTTTATGTCCCTGGTGCCTGACTTTGAAAATATACTGCCTTGTTCATGTGTGATAATTGTTTAAAAGTGCAGTTTGATACCAGCATCATATAGTCATAGTCTGTTCCTTGATACAGAGGAGGGTTCCAGAATCAAGATGCTGCTCTATCTGCTTTTATGCATGTATACATACATTTGTAAGTGTCATACTAAGACCTGGCCAATCCAGTGTAACAAGAATACTTCTTAGGTTTCTACTGGTTAAAGCAGGAGCAAAGCTGAAATAAAACTTAACAGACTGTCTCCTGTAATGTTAATGTTAAATAAAGCCAATTTAAAAGAATTCATCATTTATATAGGGCTATTTAAAAGATACTTAGGGTGAACATAAATCCAGGTTATTGCATGTGTGTAGTTTGACAGCTATCAGCTAGATCTTAGTCTATACTTAAATATTTGAGTGCTAGTTGATTTGATTCAAAAGCCTTTAAAACACATCAAAGGGAGATTTCTATCCTTAGAACCTTGGTTTCGATTTAGGTTTTTGGGGGGAGGTGGCGATGAGGGATAATGGGAATGGTATCTTGAAATAAAATCAAAGTTATAAAGATGTGTTCAATGTTGAGCACTCCATAACTTCTTTTTTAATAGGTACTTGTATAAGTTAGTCTAAGTCCATTTGTGTAACTTGACAAAACTGTTTCAGAGAACACAAAATAATTCTAAGCAAAACAAGGAGCACATTCTCCATGTACCTGAGGAGAATATCTAACAGACTTAGGAACAGTGCCAAAATCTTTGGATTTCTAACACATGGTGCCTTTTGTCCTGGTGCTTAAAAAGTGTTATCTGTAACGTGAGAGTAAAATATGATAGATCTGAATAAGCAGATGTGCTTGCTTGTATACACAAACAGATAATGTGCCATGCATGAGGATGGACATGAGGTTAGTTGTTGAGTGCAATCGTATGTGGACAAATCGCAGCATGTCAGTCTCTGCAGGGCTGTGTTGTAAATATAGAAGACAAATTGTGCCCTCAGGAAAGGAGTATTTTGGTTCGTTTGATGTGTCTTCTGAAGTCTGCTTGAGAATCAGATTTAGTAAGAAGGCTTATGCTGGTGCTGAAGCAGCCTTTGCTGCCAGTAATGTCTGATAAAGCAAAACAAACAGGTCACTCAGAGAGGTTTTGGAGCCTCCATCTTTGAAAATATTCAAAACCCAGCTGGGGACAGCCCTAAGAAACCTGCTGTACTTGACTCTGCTTTGGGCATGGGGGTTGGACTAGGCAATCTCCAGAGGTCCCCAATAACTTCAGCTAAGCTTTGTGATGCCTAGGATTTTTTTACAAAGTAAATGGCTAACTTTGTGTTATCTTTTTTCTTTAAGATTGGAAGCTTTCTGAGAATTTACAGTATTCATACAAAACAAGCAAGTGCTGACAGTGAAGGTGTCTCACATATAGAATTTCATCTTCATGGTGGCACGTGTTATGGTCGAGGAATAGGAGTCTTACCAGAAAGTAACTCAGATATTAAGGAACTAAAAGCGTAAGTAGTTCTATATGTAGTTTTTTTGCTTAGATGATTCTGGAAAATTCTAGGCTAATGTTAACAACTGTACAGTTTAGAACTGTGAATGTATGTATGGACCAGAAACTCTTTAGCACCGCTAAGCTGAAGAGTAAGTATTTGGAGGGATAGGTAGATAATGGCTAATTTTTCAAATTTAAAATACAGTAGGGATTAAGATTTCTATTTTATAGTGCCGTAATAATCAGGCCTGGCTACATTAATGTACTTACTCTGTTTTATAGTGGCATATAATCTTTTGCAGATAAAAGCAACGGTTAAGGAAAAATATTGAGCACATTTTAAGCACAGAATCATATAATTGCTTAGATTGGACAGGACTTTTTTAAGATTGAGTCTGCTGTTAACCTAACACTACCATGTCCACCACTAAACCATGTCCCTAAGGGCCACATCCACATGTCTTTTAAATACCTCCAGGAATGGTGACTCAACCATTTCCCTGGGCAGCCTGCTCCAGTGCTTGATAACCCTTTCAGTGAAGAAGTTTTTCCTAATATCAAATCTAAAGCTCCCCTGGCATAACTTGAAGCCATTTCCTCTAATCCTATCACATGTTACTTGGGACAAGGGACTGAGACCCACCTTGCTAAAACCACCTTTCAGGTAGTTGTAGAGAGCAATAAAGTCTCCCCTCAGCTGCCTTTTTTTCAGACTAAACAACCCCAGTTCCCTCAGCCGCTCCTCATAAGATGTGCTCCAAACCCTTCACCAGCTTTGTTGCCCTTCTTTGCACATGCTCCAGCATCTCAATGTCTTTCCTGTAGTGAGGGGCCCAAAACTGAACACAGCACTCAAGGTGCAGCCTCACCAGTGCCAAGTACAGGGGCACAATCACTTCCCTACTCCTGCTGGCCGTGCTGTTTCTGATACAGGCCAGGATGCTGTTGGCCTTCTTGACCACCTGAGCACACTGCTGGCTCATGTTCAGCTGGCTATTGACTAACACCCCCCTTCCCAGACACTCTTCCCCAAGCACTGGGGGGTAGCATTGCATGGTGTTGTTGTGACCCAGCTGCAGGACCTGGCACTTGGTCTTGTATGAGTACAGTTGGTCTCGGCTCATCAATCCAGCCTGTCCAGATCCCTCTGTAGAGCTTTCCTACCCTCAAGCAGATCAACATTCCCACCCAGTTTGGTGTCATCTGCAAACCTACTGAGGGTACACTCAATCCCCTCATCCAGATCATTGATAAAGATATTAAATAGAACTGGTCCAAATACTGATCCCCGAGGAACACCACTTGTGACCGGTTGCCAACTGGATTTAACTCCATTCACCACAACTCTTTGGGCCCAGCCATCCAGTTTTTTACCCAGTGAAGAGTGTGCCCGTCAAAGCCATTGGCGGCTAGTTTCGGCAGGAGAATGCTGTGGGAAGTGGTGTCAAAGGCTTTACTAAACTCTAAGCAGACAACATCCACAACCTTTCCCTTGTCCATTAAGGTCACCTTGTCATAGGAGATCAGGTTAGTCAAGCAGGACCTGCCTTTCCCATGCTGACTGGACCTGATCAAGCAGTTGTACTGTATATGTTTCATGATGGCACTCAAGTTGATCTGCTCCATGACCTTCCCCAGCACCGAGATCAGACTGACAGGCCTGTAGTTCCCCAGTTCCTTCTTCTGGCCTTTCCTGTAGATGTGCATCTCATTTGCTAACCTCCAGTCCACTGGGACCTCCCTGGTTAGCGAGGACTGCTGGTAAATGGTTTGGTGAGCACTTCCGCCAGCTCCCTCAAAACCCTTAAATGGATCCCATCTGGTCCCATAGACTTGTGTGTGTCTAAGTGGTGTAGCAGGTTGCTAACTATTTCCCCTTGGATTATGGGGCTTCATTCTGCTTCCTGTCCCTGCCTTCCAGCTCAGAGGGCTGGGTACCCTGAGAACAACTGGTCTTCCTGTTAAAGCCTGAGGCAAAGGCAGCATTAAGTACCTCAGCCTTTTCGTCGTCCTTTGTCACTGTGTTTTCCCTTGTATCCAGTAAAGGATGGAGATTCTCCTTACTCTTCCTTTTGTTGCTAATGTATTTAGAGAAACATTTTTTATTGCCTTGTACAAGAGTAGCCAGATTAAGGTCGAGTTGGGCTTTGGCCTTTCTGATTTTCTCCCAGCATAACCTCACAGCATCTTTGTAGTTCTTTGTAGACCATAAACCTTCCTTTTTTTCCCTTAGGAAAGGCTGCGTAACCGAAGTCTGTGTTCCCTTATCAGGAATTCTGTTTTCCAGTAGTACACATTTCTTTTGGCACTATATTGTATTTGAAATTCTGGAAGTGATTCAGAAAGTAGTGTCTCACCTACATCATTAATATACACTCCTGCAACTTCTGGCTCAACTGAGTTTTATGTCTCTGCTGAAAGATTTATGTCTGAACTTTATACCTGTTTTTGATAAACAGTAGGTTTCATATAAGTGTATGTGTAGTCCCATACATATGTTTCATATAAGTGCATGTATATGTATGAAATGCTTCTCTAGGTTATAAAACATTTAATAATTTATTTTTAGATTCTTGGAATCTGTGGATCTGGCAGACAGTCAGAGTATGGAAAGCATGTCTTCACTGGAATTAGATGGCACTTTTCACAGTGTTACAGGTAAGAGCAATTGAAAGCTGATTCGCTCTTGGTTATGGTTAAGATGGTCACAGTTACTGCTTCTCTAAGTGTATAAGGTTACTTTCAGGGTACCTTAGAGAATTCTTTTGGATTAAACTGGAAATTGACATTACCCTATCCTTGTGTCTTGTAGCAGAAGCCTTCCATATACATGGAAAGATACTTTCATAGGAGGTAGTGAATAAATTATTAAACACAGGTGGTGTTCTTAATCATACTATATTACGTCATAAAGCAGAATAGCATAACTCCCTCCCTTTAAAGGGAGATTCCTCAGAAGCAGGCACTGAGAACACTACTAAACAGCTGCTTGCTGATGAGCCCTGCTAAAACTGTTGCGTTGAAAGTTGTGTCAGTGGCAGAACTACAATGTGCAGCACTATGGAAAAGTCGTACTTTATAGACTGCTCTATAGATCACATATTATTCTTTGAATTATATTTTTAGCCCAGTATAAGAATTTAACTCTAAAACCTGTTGGGCATAGTCTGCATTTTTCCTTCTAGTTTTTAAAACCCTATCTTACTTAGCCGTTAACATACTGTGACAGGATATTTCTAAAAGGGTCTAAAAGTCAAGAATAAGTAAATACTTTATATCTAGACCGTAACACTGCAACTTTGGAAAAAATTTTGCTCATATTTACTGCACTGTGCATGTGTAGTAGAGTAGTAGTTCAGAGGAGGGACCAGGCAGTCCATATTGGTTTTATGTGTTTATGATTTTGTCCAGAAAGATTACAGGAGGATGAGTACAGTTTGTTAGCAGTATCATTCACAGTATGGATTTGAAAAGTGTTCATTTTTATGGGCATTGGTATTTAATGTATACACTTTTTTTTCCTCAAAATATACTAACTCGATATCTAATGTTTGTCTCCTGCTTACTTTCCTTTTTTCTTTTGCTATATTGTTTTCATACATTATTAGGGATTCCGTTTTCCTTTGTTCAGCTTTTGGCTTTATGTGTGTATCTATCTGCCTTTCGATCTATTTGGTTTTGTGTGTCCACATGATAAAGAAGAAAAGGAAGGAAGGAAATAATTAGAAAATTCTTCTTGATTTTAGATATTGAATCACACTTACAGAGATGTCAGCAATTATCTGTTACAGGTAAGAAACATTTTGACCTCTAGGTGAAATTTATTTTTACTAAAGAACAAAAATATTTTTGAGACCTCAGCTCAAAGGTTGAAATAGTATATTTTACTTATTATAGGAAGAGCTATTCTAAGACTGTAAGCTTATGAATGTTACATTGGTTTTGTTATGTTTTTTAAGGAAGAGAGCATATTTATATAGTCTACTTTAATTTGCTTTTTTCTACATGTTGAATTTCTGTACCCTGAAGTACACCATGCTCCCACAGCCTGTAGTGGTCTATCTTAAAGACTATGGTAACATGTATTGATAAAACTGAGGCTGCAACTGGGAAGGGAATTGAAGCTGGAAATGAAGGGAAAATACATACCTGCAATGGCCATTTCCCATATGCCAAATACTGTGGTGTTTAATAAGTATGCATGGCTTTTTTGTGTGTGCATTTTTATTTTGCAGTATTAACAGATCATCAGGATTTGAGTAACACAGAACTGAAAACCATTCTGAATAGCACAGCTCCTCAACAGTATCGCATTAGAGCAAAGCTGAGAACTTATAAACCCCAGAAGCTCTATCAGTCTATTAAACTTCATTGTTCCAAATGCAACTCTTTGTAAGTATTTCACAAAATAAAAGTAATTAAGAATTGTTCTGTATGTTTTGGGATGCCTAGATTTTCACTGTATTTTCATCCTCTTTTTTGTGTAAAGTTAGCTGAATGTAAATGTATTTCATTTTGAGCAAAGATTTGAAACTTGCTGGTAATAGGTAGGAAAATCATAAGTGAGTTCCATTTACAGAATCCTTTGAGTGCTTTCTAAACAGTAGTTTTTCTTTATTTTCAAACTTAGCAGTGCAGTTTTTCCCATACTAAAGTTGTATTTAAGTACCTGTTTCTGTATTGCAGTTTTAAAGCAGGATATGCAAAAAGGGATAATAGTCTTCAAGTGAATGAATAAAATATCTTTGACTATAGTGTATCTTCCAAAGAAAGTGTATTTTCTGGATCCAAAAATATCAGGGAAACATCATTCACCTTGGTATTTTTTTCTTTTTCTGACCCGAATCAGTTCACTGACCATTTTATCATTATTTCCCCTTTAATGCCATTTATTGTTGTGCCAAGTAATGCTCAGTAAAATAATTGTATGCTATTTCTGGTGAAATTTAAAATGTATGAAAGTTTGTTTGATATGGCCTATTTTTGACTAAACTACTGAGTGACATGCATTACAGTGCTGTTCACGATCATCTGAATCCTGTATCGCTTTTTTTACCTGACTTAACCTAGCAACAGTCCCAAGCAAATAGCTTTGTTGTTACTGGTGTAAACTATTGCTTTCTTTAAATGATGGCAAGTTAGCATTCTCCTAGCCTTTTGAAATTTTTTGCAGAATCAAGATTTATCGGGTACAAACATCACTGAGACAAGAAAATGCCCCTGCGATCTTTCTCTTTAATCTTTTGGATGGAAAGTAGCATGCTTGCAGCTTTAACAGCATTGGTCCTTATCAGATGTTGTTATAACATTCTCTTAGTTGCTAATGTAAGAGGAAGTGTTGCATCATCTTCACAACATAGAAGTACATGGTCTTTATTACTCACTGTAAAAAGGAGATAATTACTCACTCTCTCTACCACTTTTGTCACTTTTTTGATATATTTGCTGACTCTGTATTGTAATAAGCAGATATAAGTGAGATAATTTTGTTCATTCCTTATGAACTTTATCCCACAATTTTCCATGACTACTATAGCCTTTTTATGTATTCTTGGCTTGTTAATGTAATTTCTGTTCATTTGAGTCTCCTCCTGTTTCACAGACCTTTTTTGGCCACAGAATTTGGGCAGACTTTTAACCAGATAGATTTGTGATGCTTTAGTTAGTGTTTTTCCTACTACTACTACCACCATCCTGCTGCAATGATGGGACTACTTCCAGTGCTTTCCCACAAATTTAGCTTCTCTTTTGTCAACTGTGTGCTTCAGATGGAAGGAATCAGTGAAATATAGTAAAACTGTACTGCAGCCTGGATTGGATGAGTTAAGAGGCCCAGGAAGGAAACACAATTTAGGGATATCCTTTTCTCCTACACGTTCTGCTGTGGCAGAAGTTGTTGTTTTATTATTTAGCATATGCTGAAGAGCCTGACTGAACAAAGTTCAGTGCAAGTTTGATCCTTTTAACGCAGTAAGATGCATATGACACTTGGGGTATAAAATCCTTGTGAGAGATGTACTTTTGATTTTTAGACTTAGACTGGAAACTTTTCTGTAAATAGCAAAATACTGATATACATGGATGTAGTTTTATTTATGTATCCACATTACAGAAGTTTCAACCTTCGTGTGTAGCTTAGATCAAACAATTCATTCCATTCCCACCTCTGCGGGAAATCTGCAGACAGGCTGTAGAGGTTGGAAGAGTTTAATGGGTATATCTGGAAAGGTGACCTGTTATGTTGGGTCTGTTGCTTTTGCATTTGAAATGGTAATAGAGGAACACAGGTGCAAAGAGTTCATGTGAACAGCACTGTTCATGAAATGAAAGTTCAGGTTCAGGAAGACCTCTGTGTGCCAGTTTTACAGTCACAGCAGAAGAATATCAAAGTTTGGTTTCGTAGGCAGGAATTCTTCTATTCACTGGTGGAAGCAGCTGCTCTTGGATTTGAAAGTGAAATAGTCAGAATAATCTCCCAGAGTTGACAGTATTTTTTCTTTAACTCCACTCTGAAGCTTAGCACCTACTTTTTTTCAGTGTTTTATGAAATAGCCCAAACTTTTGCCCTTTTTTTATTTTATTGTCCTTTGTCACGATTCGTATTCCACTTGAAGCCAGCAGGTCTGTCTTGCTTAGAAGAAAACATTCTAATGCATTTTTTTAATTTGTGTGCCAACTATTAGATTTTTGCCTCTTGTCAGCAATATTGATAAAATTTTAGTTACCTGCATTACTTCTCTGTGGATGACAACTGGAAATGCATGAATGGTGCACTCTAGCAGGACAGGAAGGAAACTGAGTGGTGCAGATTTGCAGATTTCCCCTTTATGGCACATATTCTGCTCCTGCCCTTTTTCCTTCCCTCCCCCCCCAAAATGTGCAAAGTAAAATAGGCTAGAACATAAAACTTGAAATTATATGAGCTTATGCAGTCTTTTTACTCTCCTGAAGTGGTATGCAGTTGTGTGGCCCTTTTAAGGCCCAACTGAAATCACATAAAGCTGATATATGTTTGTTTTTCCATGGATTTACATATGGATTTACAGTGGATGAAGCCACTAGGCTGTCTCTGCTCCTAGGTAAAATTAGATTCCTTAGCGTATTTATTAACATGGAAATAAATTATATTGTCATAATTTGCTATACAACTCTAAATGTTTAAACTGATATAACAACAAAGTTATTTTTTCTGTATATACTTCAACTCTCATGACTATATTTTTATATTTATTCAGAGTACTATTGTCCTTGTTGCTAGGTTGCCTAGGGAGAAGCTGTTAGAATTTACTTACTCGTTTTGGGAACTGTTTTAGGCAAGAAGTTCCAGATGGAGATGAATTTGACTTTATTTTACGAAGCTCTGTCGTTACTACCCCAAACCCAGAATTACACAATACATCCTGGTATGATTCTGTAATGTGGACTACACAAGACCAGAAACAAAGGAAAATAACTATTCATTTTGTAAAGCATGATGAAATGCTTCAACAGCCTGAAGATACTTTGCTTATGATAGAAGGTAAGATAAATTGCAAATATGCCACTTCTTATGACAGTGTCCACTCTGAGTTTCTGCGAAGATATGTTGAAGTTGTATTCCGTGTAAGTAGTGATGATTGATCATAAAGGCATCTTCAAAGAAAGGAAAAACTCAGCTGGTACTTCGTTACTGTTGTGCAAACAGGAAAAAGTCATCTGTGAAGGTCTTGTAAGGTGCTTTGGTCTATTTTAAAACTGTACAGATAAGTTTATTAAAATTAACATCTGAATATGTGGGGTTTTTTCCTTGCTGTGTTTACTGATTTTTTTCAGTTCTGATTTGAAAACTCACTAATCTTCTTTTTTTTTTAAAATCTATTTTAAGTCTTGCTGTGGAAAAGTTTTGAAAGGCTTCTGATAATACAAGCCTACAGTTAACTTTGTCAGCCTCTGGATGTCAGTGTTGTTTCAGATTAATAGAGCTTCTTGCAGTGTGAGGTTTGTTTGGTTTGGTTTGGTTTTTTTTTCAGATTTCCTCAGGGAAGAGAAATAGCCACTGAACTTTAAGCAATTTAGAATACTAATAAGGAATATTTTTAATAGAATAAAATTAATAAATAATTGCATGTAGTACCATTCCAAGTTTAAAACAAAGTCTTCAGTTGTGCTCAAGTAGTGGTGTGACTATGCAAATATAAGTCAGGTGTTCCTTTGTCTAAGGGTTCATGACAAAACCTCTTCTATTTTCTGGTTTTTTTAATATTCAACTAGTTTTGATAGCTGCTTTATTTCTGACATGTCCCAAACTGGATGATTTTTTTTTTTTTTTGGTGATCTAACCTTATCTGTAAACACATAAGAAAAAATAAACTATTTCTACTCTGTTTTCCTAAAATAACTGAACGGTTTAACTTGGTAAATCTTTTTTCAGATATTGAAGCACCAGCAGCTTAAGTATGCATGTGTGTGGATATATGTGCTTCATGTTGGAGCACAAAAGGCATAATCAGTGTTTTAGCACTTTTTTCCCAGAACATTGATTGTGAACCTTGCCAAAGCTACATGCTATTTTAATTTTTATCTTTAAATTTCTGGAGGTGAAGATTTTGAAGTTGCCCTAGAAATCTTCCCAGCTGTTTTTCAGATACAGACAACCCTCAAAGGCCAAACATGTTATGACACTTATTAGACAGACATGGTATAGATTCTGCTTGTTAAACACAAGCAATTTGCTCTCTGCAGCACACTACTCCATTCTTCCCCATAAGCATTATGCTGAAGCAAGGACTTCTTTTTGAGTGTTTGGCATCTGTTTTGAGGAAATAGTTGGATAATGGACAGAATTTTATGTGACCCTCCACAGGGAGTAAGGGGAATCCATAACCATTGCTAGAGCTTAGTTGAACTGAAGGGTGAAATGTTACCATTAATGAGTAGATCAATGCTCCTTGCATATCCTCATTATTTGTACATGAATTCATTGTGATTCATGTCATTGTCAACCCCTGGTAATTCTCTGTGTTTTATGCCACTCTCTTAGAAGCAAGAATACATTTGCTCAATGTAACTATCATATTACAGTGAAGTTGAAATTCTGGAGACCTTTTAGCAATGTCAGTTAAAACTACCTTGAATTTTGTATGTTAATCCTTTGATGAGAGTCCAGATGTATATAAGAGGCTTTATATGTGTCACTGTACTTGGAGGACCTTTGTTTTCTATTTTCTTTTCTTTTTTTTATTATTAGAAGTTAATTTCATTGAGGAGGTTTCATGTTGTGCATGTTTTCATCACCAATAATAATGCAATTTTATTGATTTTATTTTCTTCTCTAGTTACCTCTGCAATACAAGTAACAAATATATACAATAAATATTTTACAAACCAGTGTTATAATTACTTGTCATAAAGTCTTTGTAACATCTTAGTTATAGTGGTAAACAACACAGTTGTAGAATACATTTATTTTAAAAATTTGCTCAATTTTTTTAATTGTTCACAAGCTGATTAGATAATATATTTTTATTGAACTACTCCCAAAATAACTGTTATCTGTGTGTTAAATTAATAAATTTATTACGTTTCCACTGAATTGGTAAAATGTCAGAAAGATTTTGTAATCAGTTCTGCAGCCCATACTGCAGAGACTGAAGGCAGGTTATCCCGTGATTTGTAATAAATTTGAAAGAACTATTTTCCTGTCACTGGAATTGGAAAATCTCAGGGTTCCAGCTGTAATATCTTAAATTTCTGCTGTGTTCCTAGCATGGCCCCAATTTAGTAGCATTCAAATTAGCATGAAGTTTAGTGGTTCTGTATTTCCCACCTCATGTCAGTTATGGCATGGTTGAATAACTACTTTTTCATAAACTGCTTGTTAAAAATTGGTATATCTTTGCCACTTAAAAGCTGAACAGTTACTTAAGAGCACTTGCAAAAAGTTAATTTATTCCCCCCCCTTCCCAAGAAAATTGCTAGTAAAATGATAGGAGAAATTTCATATGAAAGTGCTGTTAACTAAATGCAACTAGTTACAGTGGTAGCTATGAGGAAGGTGTTAAGGTATCTGGTCTGATAATCATAGAATGGTATGGGCTGGAAGGGACCTTAACGATCATCTAGTTCCAACTCCCCTGCCATGGGCAGGGACACCTTCCACTAGATCAAGTTGCTCAAAGCCTCATCCAGCCTGGCCTTGAACACTTCCAGGGAGGGGACATCCACAACTTCTTTGGGCAACCTCTTCCAGTGTCTGACCACCCTCACAGTGAAGAACTTCTTCCTGATATCTAATCTAAACTTGCCCTCTTTCAGCTTAAAGCCATTTCCTCTTTTTCTATCATTAACTGTCCTTATGAAAAGTCCCTCCCCAGCTTCCTTGTAGGCCCCTTAGGAATTGGAAGGCCACTGTAAGATCTCCCCAGAGCCTTCTCTTTTCCAGGCTGAACAGCCCCTACTCTCTCAGCCTTTCAGTCTTTGATTCTTTTTTGAGTCTGTTATTAAGAGTGAGACGGTTATAGACCATTTTTTCAGTTTTCCATAGTGGGTCTCAATTTTACTGAAGGTCTGAAATCAACATCTAATCAGCCAAGAAATGCAAGTTGTTCAATTTATTCTTGATTACAGTTTAAAAAAAACTTTTTTTTTTTAATAGGTGGAACACTGAAAGAAGTCTGGAAACTTACAAAAAGATTTAAATGTGTTATTCCTGTGAGATCCACAGAAGATGATCTTGAATTATTAGATCTTTCAGCTCCTTTTCTTTTACAAGGGAACATAAAATATTATGGGTAGGTTAAAAGTATTTGTTGGTATTTTAGTAGTTGCAGTAATAGATAGATATCTTATTTTTTTCAGTAATTTAAGCCACAGTGCTCAAGGGATAATTTACCAAAGATTCTTTGATGCAGAGCATGTAACATCATCAGCAGTGCTGAGATCAGGGATGAAAGGCCATACTACTACCTCATATCAAATGACTCAACTGCATTCAGGCTTTATCTTGCTCTATAACTCTTATGCCCTTAATTACACAGCACCCCAGGTTCAGTCTTGCCTGTGGTGTGTGGGTAGGCCAGTATACTACAGAGACGGTAAGGCACATGTGAGTCTCTTTAAGCTGCAGAATGCCTAAGTCTTCCTCTTTTAGTCCAGATCTTCCGTTTTCTGGTCAGAAAAATAGCATTTTCTGGTCTTACTCATTAGACTAAAGTCAAGTATACACTACTGATAAAAAAGCACGTGGAACAAAGCTTCAAAATGTCAACATCCTTGTGAGGTTCCTTCCTAAAAGATTCTGTATAGTAGAATGAAAAGCGAAGTTATTTTTACTGTAGCAATGTGCTTGAATACATGTATAAATATTTATGTGTTTGCATATGCATGTCTATTCATATATATGTAAAAACACACACACATGCATATAAAAACCAAAATTCAAAGCTAAGTTACTTTGTTGGAGTTTGTGTGATTTTTTTTATTTTTTATTTTTTTATTTTTTTTAAAGGAGAAAAGTAACCTAATTGAGCTTGGCTTTACGTCACTTGAGCAGAACTAGTGCTGTTGATTTTTATTACGTGTTTTACATGTAATTCTAAAAGATAATAAATGTCTATAAGTTCTAACTGTTATATACTAGCACAGAATCTTAACTTAGAAAAAATAGTTGTTCTGTAATTTTATTTCGAGGCAAATGGGTACAACTTTGAAAACAGTTCTTCAATATTTTTGTCCACTTACAGCATTTGCTTACTATGTCACGTGTAAAATTTGTAATTATAATTATAATAAGAGATTGTTTTAATAACTCATAGTTAATGTTTTTTAACATAGGTAAACTCAAATTTCTCCTCTATCCTGGTTATGTTTTTAGAGCATGCTGCAAGTTCAGATTCGTTCCTGCTTTTGCAAAGTGAGATGTTTATACTGCTAAGTAACAAAGTAGTGACATATGAATATATGTTTAGCAGTGTAATGATCTCAGAATCATAGAATGGTTTTGGCAGGAAGGGACCTTTAAAGGTCATCTAGTCAAACCCCCCTGACATGGGCAAGGACACCTTCAACTAGATCAGGTTGCTCAAAGCCCCATCTGACCTGACCTTGAACACTTCCAGTGACAGGTATCCATAACTTCTTTGGGCAACCTGTTCCAGTGTCTCACTACCCTCATTGTAAAGAGTCTATTCCTTCTGTATAATCTAAATTGACCCTTTTTCAGTGTAAAACCATTGCCCCTTGTCGTGTCAGTATGGGCCTTGGTAAAAAGTCTCTCTCTGTCTTTCTTATAAGCCCCCTTTATATGTAGAAAGGCTGCAATAGCATCTTCCCAGAGCTTTCTGGTCTTCAGGCTGAACCAACCCCAACTCTCTCAGCCTTGATGTACAGTTTTCCTCCTTTCTATTTGCTGAGGTGGTCTTTTCCAGACCAAAATGGTTTATACAAAAGCAGCATTAAGGGTTTTGATGAGGTCTAAAGCTTGTATGTCTGGTAGAATAGTTATTTTAAACAGCAATAGAAATACTTTTGCACTCCTGCTGAGTAAGAAAATCAGATTTTTATTTTTTTTTTCTGTTCAGAAATCTTCTATAATATATAAATCAGTGTTTGGTTAGTCTCAGTATCTTGTTTTAAATGCTAGGTGCAAGCAGTGTTCAACTCCAAAGCCTATCACGAGTCTAAGTTCCATTGCAGCAGAACAACAACCATCGTGGGAACCAACTGAAATAGCACAAGGTCAGGTGACATGATACTATCCTGAAATACTTTTGTACTTTGATTCTGAAGTGTTTATGTGAAATAGTTTCTGGATTGCAGTTTTGTACAGAAAGCATGTAATTTATAGTTATGCTTGAGTATAAAACTGTAAAATTTATTTATCTTTTGATAAATTGTTGAAATCACATACTTAGTTTTGAAACATTACAGTACGAATTAAAGGATTTTTTTATGTTCAATAGTTTCTTCTACCATAGGTGTCACTAGTAACACCTATCATAGTACAGATGTGATGAATTTTTGGTTGCAGATGTCATTTCTAAACTGTGTACATGCTTGCAGTCCTAGAAGTTAGTCTTGCTTTTCCTTTTGAAGATACTATTTTTCTCATCTGAACTAAAGAGAGTCTTCTTTAATGACTAGTACAAGTTAGACTTATCTTCTGTACACCTTATCAATGCTAAGCACGTTCCAGAGAATCTGCAAGAAATAATATTCAAATGAAAGGAATTATGCCATTACATATATGTGTGTTCCATGCTTTGTGTGTTCTTTGTGTAGTCAACACGTTCAAATGCTGGAGTTAAAAAGGAGCTTAAAACTTCACAACATATTAAGGAAAAATTATTTTCATGTTTATCAATTAATGTTCTAACATATTAAGTTGGAATACCTAGCAATATCTAAGCTTGGTAAAAGACTATAAGAGGAAAAAAACCTATTCAAGCAATACAGTAGTTCTCTTAAATAAACTTTCATAATTATATTCTATTAAATTAATGTAAAGTAATATATAACTGACAGTTATACAGCACCTGCAATTGACATTTAATTTGCAAAAGAAAAACTATATTCATTAAATGTTTTCTGGCATTTAAACAGTTTTATGTATATTATTCTTTTATCATCTGTATTTTCAGACTAAATTATACCCTGCAAGTGTATCAGATCAGTCAAACATAAAATGACTAGCCAATTTAAGTAGATGTACACAGAAAAGACTGCAAAGATGCAGTAACTTTGTACGTTTAAGATATTTTATGTTTTCAGTGTAACAGTTACTGCTGCCAGTGAGAGAATGACTATAGTCATTTACTTATGCTGGAGTATTTTCAGAGCTGCCAGCAAAGTTTTTCTGAATAAGACTTTGCCCGATAGGTTTTACTGCATCATATGAAACAAATTGTTTTTTCTCAGAAGATACGTTTTCAGGTGGAATGCTATCTTATTATCACTGAATTAAGAACAATTCTCCTTTAATTTTCCATGGATAAAAAATAAGAGTAGGAAGATCCTACCAAGGTAGGATCTAAGATCTAAGCAAATATTAGTATTTCTTTTACTAGGATGAGAAGTATTACTTAAAAATCTTTCTGCATTTTTATAGATTCATCTATGTAAGTGTTTCTAAGCAAATCACAATGTGCTTCAGAGCATCTGGTTTTTGGCCTGTCAATTTATGCTTTTAATTACAGTACTCAAAGTCAATTACTGCTAAAGGACAGATATTGTCAGCTTGAGTTTTTGTGGTTTGTCTTGCTTATTCACTCTAAGAGACAGATTTTTTTTTTTTTCCTTCAGCTTTAGGTATTGAGCTGCTCCAGTATGTTTTTATTATGAGGTTTACACTGGTTGATGGAACAGGAGCACTAAATGCATACCTTTTTGATTATGTAAGTAAATCTAGGTAAAGGCAGACTACACAGATTATGTGGGTTTGGATTTTGTTTTTAAAATAGAAATACTTATTCTGTGTTACCTATTACCTATGTTACCTATATGTTACCTACTTATTCTATGTTTTTGTGGGGACAGTTACAAGTGCTGTAATGCTATTTATACTGTCCATCAATGAAGATGCACAGAATATAATTTTTAGTAATTTTTCAATAAAATATAAAAGTATAGAATATCAAAGCATAAAGACAAAACAGAAGCTTGTAAATAGATTATTTGGTATTCCCTAGACGTTTATACATTTCCATGACTGAATTTCTCTTTTATTGGCAATGTTAAATTATGCAGTCTGAATGCTCTGTGAATGATGAAAGTGTTTCGGGATTTATTCAGGTAACTTCTGGGTTAGTTCAAAATCTCATTACCTTATTTTTAAACTGTCAGTACAATCTATCCATTCAGTAATTTTTGACTTTTGTTTCGTATGACTGTGAGGTAGAAGAGGCCTTCTTACCCCTCAGCCTACACAGGACTCAGCTATAGCTCTACAGATATTTGGTTTCAGAAGCAGTTTATTCAACTACTTTGCTAACCTTAGGATTAACCTATCT